AGATATTTAAAAATGTCAATCAATGTACACCTATATAAATAAAAATTCGCCTTTTCAATACTGATGCAATTTTGAAATATATAAATGTAATGAAATATTGTCTTGAATAAGTACTTTGTACATGTAATTCATGAATTAATAAATTATTATTACAAATAATAATGAGATTGAACTTTCTGAGAAGTGCTTATTCCTTTTTTATTTATTTATTTATTTATTCATAGCATAATTTTGTTATTTTTTAAAACTTTAAACAAAAATATGCGTTTATTATTGATTATAAACTTCTTTTTATTTTATGTCTATAAATAAATATAAATAAATATTGAAATATCGGTAAAAATATTTTTATTTCAATCCCTGTGTAATATATAGTTTTATTGTCCCTTTCAATAAAGAAAATTAATTTTTATATGAATGGTATATTAAAATGGTATTTGAATTTTTAGTTAAATTTTACAAATTAAATTTTTATTTGCCCGTGGATTGAATGAACATTCTATCTCGATTGGATAGAATCACAGTAGAATTTGTCAAAGTAAACATTGATTGGTTATTAATTAAAATATTGGATTATTTAGTCATTTTTGCAAACATACTGCATGCATTAATTTAAACTGTCTCTATATTTCAAATAATTTTCAACAGTAAAATTAATTATATTAGTGTAATGCACAGTCAATTGATTTAAATTTTTACCACTGAAACATTTATATTTATATATAGAAAAATATTTAGTGGTGTACCCTTACCATTGAAATAAATGTCACCTATAATTGATTATAGTAACTGAAATTATTAATTTCTTGCTTTGCCTTTGTACTTATAAAATCATTGCTATTAATGGTTTATAAATGTATCTAATTAGCTTGAAAAATATTAATAAAATAAATATTTTCCACAAATGAATTTTTACAAGTTACAGTTACCAATATTCATAAATTAAATTTTAATAATAAACTAGATGTTACAAATTAGAAGTTGACTAACTGTTCCATTTGACATAAAATTGTAAAACTGCAAAACTTCAAAATTATATAATTCTGAAACTGTGAAATTGTAAAATTATTGGAAAGTAAAACTAGAAAATTATAAAATTGTAATTAATAAAATTGCAAAATTACAAAACTGTAAAATCACAAACTTTAAGATTACAAAAATAACAAAATTCTAAAATTGTCAAACTGTAAGTTTATAAAACTGCAAAATTATGAAATTGTAAAACAGTAAAACTGTAAAAACTGTAAGATTTCAAACATAACCTACAATTCGTAACTCGTCAATTCGCTGCTTTATGCGACTATAAAGTATATTTATACAACCATAATTACTCTATGGTTGACAAGATTAGTAAATGACGATAGACATTCACTCGTGTTATCAAATTAATCTTCACATTCGACGAGAAAACAAAGCAACCAACAAATCGCGAGAATGTCGTATAATATTACTTCAAACACTTACCGATAGTTGTCAGCACCGTAAGAGAATACAAAAATGCTTTGGCGAAGTTCCACTCGTATTCCGGTAGCCGTCGCTCTGTTACGGGATCACTGGCGGAACTTCCGACGTATGTTCCGGCGTTCTGGGTCGCCATCATGTCTTCGGTGATCCTCTTCACCAGTTGATCCTGGAAACGTGAGATCTCCTGGTCGGCCAACCTCGTCCAGTTCTCACGGTATAGGATATTCAAACTCTCCGTAATTATCCATATATTCTCCACGGTCTTTGCCCGTGCCTCGTGGTTAATCTTAAATTTATACAAATGCTAGAATGTAGCACATAAAAACACAAATATATAATAAATCACTAAAATAAATATTCCATTGCAATACAATACTTTATGTAATTGATAAATATTACTTTGTGATACAAGTCTCAAAATCTTTGTCAATGAGAACGTTAAAATTAATTAAATTCGTCAATATTTATTTATTTATTTATTTATTTTTTTTTTGGAAATAATGAACAATGAAAATACAAATTTTTAAAAAATTTTAAGGAAATATTGAAAATTCAATTACTGAAGAAAATAGCATTTGTTTATTAATAACCAAATATTTTTATAGTCGATGTAAGATTCATTTTACAGAAATAAATCGAAAGTATAAAATTAAATTTTATTTTCGAGAAAATTATATTATTTAATATTATTTTTACACCAATAATATTAAATAATACTACTTGTTTGACAATCATACTAATTTTTATTTACAGCGAAGAATTTTTAGAAATTAACTTCCTTTCGAAAATGCAATTTTTTATTTTACAAATTAAAGCGAGAGAACACTTTGTTCCTTTAATTATTCGAAATCCTATAAATTTTTGAATTTTAGGTGCGAGAGATTTACACTAAAACTTGCACGGAGCATCCAGGTGACAAAATTTGCAATTAAAAAAAATTCAACGTTTGAAACAATGTTTTCCAATATGCATGTAACACCAGCTGCAACAAATGGTCGCATATGCTTTCCAAAAAATAAAACAACCAAGGAAAAAATTATATTCGTTTTGAATTTCTCCCTGTTCTATCACAATTTTCGATCTTGGAAACTTGAAACAAAATTTTAAATTTTAAAATTTTATGACTCGACACACTGTCTTAAATTTTGAATTCCAAAATTTAAATTAAAAAATTTTATTTTCGATACACTGTCTTAAATTTTGAATTCCAAAAATTAACTTTTTGTGTATTTTGTGAAAATGTCAGATAACGTAATAAATATAAATATAAATATAAACATCAGTTTTACAATAAAAGTGGCAAGTATATGTTTTCTTAAAGATAAATTTCAATAATTTTAATTTTCCATGCAAGCATTCTAATTTTTATAAATAGTCGAAATCGGAATATATGACAGGCGAAAAATATGAAAAAATCGCAAAACTGCAAATATCTCTTGTGCGCAGGAGATTTTGCTGAACGAGTATCACTTTAAAGAAGGAAGAAACTAGTTGGGACGTCCGATCGATGAAACTTCGTTGAAACGAGCGCCAACGCCAGAACGCACCGATAATTCGATTGACTTCGGGTTCACTGAGGTCATCTCAGGTAGGAAAGTGGGATCAAACCGAAGATGTGATGATAAATCGAGATTCGCTTCGAGAGTTACTGTTCCGCTTAAGTGATAGAGCCAGGGAAAAAGTACGGTCATGGTTATTTGAAGCAGCTTCACCGAGCAGTCGCTTTTACTGCCAGGTATTCCATTTAAAATTTTAAAACGACTAACTCTTTTGTTATTTTATTAGCAAAAATTGTGACTCGCGATTAAGTACTTTATTAAAACGTAATCGATTTGGTAATTCGAATATTTGCTTCTACTATGTTTTTAAGTAAATATGGGGATAAATAATAGAACTAGGAATTTTGAGGTTATGTAGAGAAGGATGATAAAATTAAAGCATGAGAAATAATACAATTAAGATGTAAGCACTTTGGTAATTCGAATATTTACTTCTGGCACGTTTCTAAGTAGATACATGGATAAATAATAGGAATGAGAATTTTGAGGTTATGTAGAGAAGGATGATAAAATTAAAGCATGAGAAATAATACAATTAAGATGTAAGCACTTTGGTAATTCGAATATTTACTTCTGGCACGTTTCTAAGTAGATACATGGATAAATAATAGGAATGAGAATTTTGAGGTTATGTAGAGAAGGATGATAAAATTAAAGCATGAGAAATAATACAATTAAGATGTAAGCACTTTGGTAATTCGAATATTTACTTCTGGCACGTTTCTAAGTAGATACATGGATAAATAATAGGAATGAGAATTTTGAGGTTATGTAGAGAAGGATGATAAAATTAAAGCATGAGAAATAATACAATTAAGATGTAAGCACTTTGGTAATTCGAATATTTACTTCTGGCACGTTTCTAAGTAGATACATGGATAAATAATAGGAATGAGAATTTTGAGGTTATGTAGAGAAGGATGATAAAATTAAAGCATGAGAAATAATACAATTAAGATGTAAGCACTTTGGTAATTCGAATATTTACTTCTGGCACGTTTCTAAGTAGATACATGGATAAATAATAGGAATGAGAATTTTGAGGTTATGTAGAGAAGAATGATAAAACTAAAATATGCGAAACAATAGAATTAAGACGTAAGTATTTTGGTATTTCGAATATTTATTTTTGCCATGTTTTAAGTAGATATTTGGATAAATAATAGAACTGAAAATTTTGAGGTTATGTAGAGAAGAATGATAAAATGAAAAATATGAGAAACAATAGAATTAAGACATAATCAATTTGGTAACCCAATAATAAAACAACAACCCTCGTAAGACCCAGCCTTGAAACAACCCGAAGACGTACCCCGTAAGAAGACCACTCCAACTTCGATCCAATCCGAAACCCCTTAAAAAGGGGCGTTCACTGGAAACAGCGTGAATCGTTACGTAGGGAGTGACCGATATTGAAGCTAGGTGATCCGTAGGAACGCAACAATGAAAGCAGAAAAAGCGAAGAAAGGGGGAAAAAAGAAAAGGGGGGCAAGAAAAATCGGCGGGTAGAAATCAATAGCTGTGCACTCACCTGCTTCAGCCAAGCGGTGGTATTCCGTCTGGTAGGCTGATTCCCGGCTATTGTGGTAGCAAGTGTCCTTTGTTGTATCCCAGCATCGGTAGTACCGCCCTCGATGGCAAGGAAGATGAAGCTACCCAGTAAAGTGTAAGCCACGAGGAGGGCACATATCCCTAGGTTTATAATACAACCCTTGAGGAAGGAGTGCTGGCTAGCCTTGTCCGGCACTCCGCCGAAGCAAAGACACCTCACTTGTCTCGACGGATGTGTTTTCGAGCGGTCCGACGTGGACCTCTTCAAGGACGATGTATTGCCATTGTTCGCGGGCTTGAAGCCCTCGTAAGCTCTATAATGTCTCGCGCTGTCCTTCTCCATTCTCTTTTTTCCCTTCCTTACCGGATCACCCAATTCTGTCCTCTGACTCTCATTTGTCGAACGGTACCTTAGCACTGTCTGTCCTTCGCATTTGTCAGCCAGCCACGCCGATAGGAGGGACCGATGGCCAGCAAGAGAAATAGGCAGATAAGAACGGTCTTCTAATCTTCTTCCAACTCCCTCGAGCTGACTTGACTCGGGTCCTAACGTCACCTTCCTACCTAATAGTGAAACCGATTCACCTGTCTCTCTTGCTTCTCTAGCTCACCCTGCTAGATCATCTCTGTTCTCATGCATCGAATCGTTACCGTGGAACCTCTAGATACAGACGACTAACTGGACATGCTAGTTTCGAGTGTCAATAGACTCTACTTTGACGTGGTCGAGCTATTTCTGGTCATTGTTGACAGTTTCCTCGAGGATTTTCTACGCGATCGTCTTCGCGATCTGCGTGAATCAGTTCCTCTCAACGACATCGCGGGGATAGGGATACTAGGGACGTGGAATTTCTCGCAAACGAGCCGCGGTTCGAAACACTCCATTGGACACACTGTATCAAGCACTGGGGATGGGTTCACTGCGGGATGTCTACGAACACTTTCGCGGAAGTCTGTCGGAGAGGTAGACGGGCTGTCGTTACGGAACAGACACCCCCGATTACGGTCACCGGCAATTTTTATTATCCTCTTAGAAAATGGTCGTTCGTCGGAAGCAGATCACGAAGGGATTTCCCAGGATCGGGCAAACGTTCGATCGTATTCGAGGCGGGCACTCCCGTCATTTTTCTAGAGGACGGCTGTCCTGGCTGGAACGCGGCCCGGAATTCTATGGACAAAATCGATGTTTGAGATATTTTCTGGGATATTAGTTCCACCTCGGGATGAGGCTCCCTATCGAGATCGAAATCGAAAGGCTCGATCCTCGTTTTCGGGGGATATTGCCCTCTTAAGGTACGCATACGTTTAAGAGATATTTATGGGTGGCGGTGCAATAACGTCGAACTCGATCTTATTAGAGAACCCGTGGACGTTATGCAACGCATAATTCTGCTTTATGAGCCTCAAGAACGCCTTTCAATTTTAACATCTTCCCAAACCAGTCCGGCTAGTTCTCAGCTAGCTAGGGCCCATCGCGATCAACCATTCGTTTCAACCCTCTATCCTCGTGCGTTATTAGACGATCACAAATTCAACGTTCCAGTTGGTAAAGAATAATAATTTCGTATTTCGGCTAGCTTTGCTTGCAGTCTTCGAGGAACCAACGCGTAGAACCCTTCATCTGTCAATCTTGACAGCGTTTAGCGTGTTTTTGGACAATTGCGATGCAAAAGTTAGAGCTGTTTAGAAATAACAAGGTCCAAAATGCGTTTTGCTACCTCTCAAGATGTCGCGTGAGTCTCAGCTAGCTTGCTTTAACGAATCCTTCGTGCGGTGAGCTTGGCTGCGCCTGACATGTCATCGGACGATCACGATTTAAGGTTAAAGCTGACGAAGGATACACGTGAGGTCTCAGCACTGTGTGCAATCTTCAAGGACCCATTGAAACGAGGTTATCATTTGAATCCAGAGTCTTTCAAGCTGACGTCCTGTGTTCTGTTGGCTCAGAAGACACGCGGTGTCTCAGCTAGCTGTAACTACAGTCTTGGACGATCCATCGCGAAGAGTCTTCCCGTTCAGTGACTCCGGTCGTGCCTAGCACGTGATCAGACGATCAGGATCGGAAAGTTGGAGCTGTGGAGGAACAGCAATATCCACGAGGTACCAGGCTACCTCCCGAGGACTCGCGTGACGATCGATTAGAGCCGAATCACGAACTGGAACCACGGCACTGTGACATACGTGGAAGCACTTCCTCTAGACTCGCGACGTTCCTTTTTCCCCGTTAGCGGGAAAATGGAAACTTAAATAACGGCGCAGAGTGAATTTCAGGAGTGTCTCCATGAGTCACTTAAACTTTTCTTCGAACCGGTTGAATGTAAAGCTAGCGAGTTCCACGTTCCCTCATACTCCTGCTCTCACTTGGTGTTCAGTCTGGGAAGAAAAGAAGGAAACGTAGCCGCAAGTGGAGCCGCGGGTTGCAGACGGGAACGCGACCGGGAAGGAAGTGGATGGCAACTTCAAGGCTTCATTCCGACAAACAAGATTTCCGGAATAAGTATCCTCGATGCACGCCGCGGCTGCGTGGTCCTGAGCCTCTGTCGAGTCTAGCCTGTCGGACGCTTAGGCTCATCGTTTCTGTCCCTTTGCTTTTGATTTCTACGCTTGGTTTTCCTTTGTCTGTCGATCTATCGTGTAGCCGGGTCACCTCCTGGTGGCAACTCACCGCGTAAAGCCGATTAGACCGGTCAGATTCGATTCTGAGACTTGCTCGCGCTCCGTGCACAGTAGTCCCATCCTCGAGTTTTCGTTCCAGTTGCCCGCGAATAAATCAGCGGACCACGTGCCGCGAACCTGGCGTCGTTTTCCTTCCGCTCGATCGGGGTAATCTGCAAACAAAAGCGGGAAAATAGGATTGGTCGATTGGATTTCACGCTTACTTTTCTTTACTTTCCAGCCAGCCGGTATTGCGGTAATATTTCAATGCGCCGAAGAACGAATCGTTGCATATGAAATGAAACCTGTTTCTCGTTTCTTAGACTCGGCTCTGTGGATTCTGCGTTCGAGACAGAACATCTGTGCGGTATTATGACACCCGGTGAGCGATGTGAAGCATAAATCGCCAAATTTATTTTCCACTGGGGTAAGTTTGAGCGATATAGATTGACTTTGGTTCATACTTGTTCTTCTTTATTTATGTGAGCCTCTCATTGGCTAAATTGATGAACGGAAAATCCTTTTAGGTTTAGGAAGCTAAGCATCAATTAAGCGATTTGAGATTCAAACTTAAGAAAATTTAGGAAGTGAAATTGATCATTTTGACTTGCGAATTTGGATCATATGTTTGTATTGGAAGTAGGTAAAACGTAATGAAACGTTTAGTGTATAAAGTTAGAGTGTCCATGACTGTGCACGAAACTTTTGATGTCATATGTAATTTAAAAATGGATTTTAGGTACAGTAATTGCTAATTTAATGGGATTAAAATATTTTACAGGGAGTTTTATTTAACTCGACCCATTTGACTATGTTTGAAATTGGTGATGACACTAAGAAATGTTTTATACAAGAATTTAATTGTTACAGAGAGCATATAATCTAATGTGAAGACATTTTTTGAAGAAGGTCGTAAGGAATCAATTTTATCTCTTTAAGTGGAATTATATTGGCAAGTCACTTGCAATATTCCAATTTTAATACTCAGTAATGCTTTTAATAGTATAATATAATCCCTTTTTGAATTTGATATTCAAAACTATATCCTTGAGCCTAGATATTTGTACTAAAATAGGGAAAACATTTTTTGGTATTACCACAAAAATATTATAAATTATTACCATTTGGTATTATTATTAAGTAAAATGAAGATTGGCATTAACTAGACCAATTTAAATAGGACGCCTTATATATAATGATCTATATTATTATAATATCATATACTAAGAGTAAAGCGTCAATATTCCAATTTTTAATTATTTTTAATATACAGGATTCAATTTATTAACATAAATAATTGTCTACTAGATAGCTCACATTTTTAGTATGAAAATTTATGTGAATATTACTCTAATTCAATCCAAACAGTTCCAATTTTGAATAAATTACAATTTACTAAATAGTTTAATAATGAAAAAATAAAATAATGTAAAATTCTTTGTTTAAAATTTAAATTTCGCGCGCAAAATTCAATTAAATCCAATTAAGTAAGGAAGGAAAGAATAGCTACGATTTTTAAAAAGATTTGTAAGAGAAATTTCAGAATTTCGTTAGCATTAATTATAATGAACCAAAAATCAATTATGTTATTTTCTAATGTAATATTGAACTTCCAAAAATTGACACGAGAGGTGCTGAAAGCTGTAGTGCACCGTTAATACGGAAAATTCTATGATGATGACTTTTCATTAAGAAATGATCTAGGAGGCAGCTCAGAAAATTCCGTCGACCAGCATGTTTTAAGATATATTACAGAAAATAATCCACGACGAGAAGCAAGAGAAATAGCGGTCTAAATTAAGGCAAGTCGTTACTGTAGAATCTCTATTACCCGAACAGCATATTTTCTCAGAATATTCTATGAAAATATGCACGCTGTGTTTATTTCCTTTCATAAAATGAAATTTGTTCATGGTTCATAATAATTCACTAGAAAGTTACCATAGCTAGCATAGCATAGCGTTTAGGATGCTTTGTAGTGGCAGCACTGGCATTTCAATTAACATTTGAAGACCCATGGTAATTAAAATAACCAGTTTCATCCTTTTTGTTCCTACAGTTACTAAGAATACCTTTCCCTTATAATTTATTTTTAAATAATTATGATACCAGTCTAAAAGAAGCAAAGAAAAATGGAAATATACCACAGAAAATTATTTATTGTAGATTCGAAGGAGATAATATTTTTGATTATGTCAATTCAAGCTAAAATTTCTAAAATTCTGACTCATATTTAAAATGAAAATGATTTAACAAATTTTAAAAATCCAAATGTATTTAAATATTTGAAAAATCACTTTACATTATACAGAGTAGCCTGTATTTAAAGCAATAACTACACTGTTTAACATTACAACCATAATAGGTGTTAAAGTAATCAATAATAATTGGTTTCAGATTTTTCATAGTTATATTATTGAACACATACAATTGCTTTTGACAAAATTGTTATTAACATTCTTTGAATTAAAACACCCTTCTAATTATTCTTACTAATAATTAGTCTCTGTGTACCTTACATTTACATACACACTATAAATAATTTCTGTTTCCATCTGGAACAATAGTGAATATATCTAAGTAGATATAAAATTGAACATATTAAACGTTCTACGAATTGCATCAAACAAAACCAAAGATATAAAATCCCTAACCTAAAACTACAACTCTAACCTCAAATTTATGATT